GCAAGACTGGGAAAGGGGCATCATTAGGCAAAGAGATTAAGCTTTTTTTTTTTTTTTTTGGAGACAGAGTATTACTCTGTCGCCCAGGCTGGACTGCAGTGGCGTGATCTCAGCTCAGTTAAGAGTGAAACCCTGTCTCTACTAAAGTACAACAAATTAGCCAGGCATGGTGGCATGCGCCTGTAGTCCCAGCTACTCAGGAGGCTGAAGCAGGAGAATCACTTGAACCCGTGAGGCGGAGGTCGTACTGAGCTGAGATCACGCCACTGCAGTCCAGCCTGGGCGACAGGGTGAGACTCTGTCTCAAAAAAAAAAAAAACAAAGAGTCTTAATTTTGTCTGGAACTGATTCTGTGGTATAGTGTGAGATCAGGACGTTCTGACTCCTGACATAGCTGAACTATCTCCCAGCAAAATGGTCTCTATGCATAAACAGCCACTTAACTCCATTCTTTCCAGCCAGTGAGCTCCCTCTACTTAGCTCCACAAGGGAAGAAGTCCAAGTCACCAATAGCTTTCCCCTAGGACTACCCTCCTCTCTCTGCTCTCTCCTGCTTCCATTCTTCCTCCCTGGCGCCCCCGTAAGTTCTTCACAGAGCAACTACAGCAGTACTGTTTCAAATGTGAGTTTGCTGTCACTCTCCTGTTTATAATTGTCCAATGAGTACCTACTGAAAACAGAATTAAGTTCTGACTCCTTACCATAGTATATAATATCCCATGCTTCTCTAGACTATTTCTGTAACACTCTTCTTCTCTCATCCACTAAACCTCAGCTACACTGGTCACCCTTCAGCTCCTAGGTCAAGTCCAAGTTCATTTTTCCCTCAGGCCCTTTGCACTTGCTATTTCCTGTCCCTAAAAAGTTCTCACCCTAGAAACTATGGCTTCGATGACTGGCTGTCTCTCATCATTCAGGTAATGTCTACTCAGATAGGACTTCCCAGACCCTGACACCATCCCAACTGAAGTAGCCCCACCTCAGCCAGGAGCTGTGGCTCATGCCTGTAATCACTTTGGGAGGCCGAGGCAGGTGGATCACCTTAGGTCAGGAGTGCAGCCATTGAACTCCGGCCTGCAGAACAAAAGAAAAACTCCATCTTTTTTTTAAAAGAAAAAAAAAAAGCGGATCACCTGAGGGTTAGGTGTCAGACAGAAGCCTGGCCAACATAGCAAAACCCCTCCTACACTAAAAATACAAAAATTAGGCTGGGCGCGGTGGCTCACGCCTATAATCCCAGCACTTTGGGAGGCCGAGGCGGGTGGATCGCGAGGTCAAGAGATCGAGACCATCCTGGTCAACATGGTGAAACCCTGTCTCTATTAAAAATACAAAAATTAGCTGGGCATGGTGGTGCGCGCCTGTAGTCCCAGCTACTCGGGAGGCTGAGGCTGGAGAATTGCTTGAACCCAGGAGGCGGAGGTTGCGGTGAGCCGAGATCGCGCCATTGCACTCCAGCCTGATAATGAGAGCGAAACTCTGTCTCAAAAAAAAAAAAAAAAAAAAAAAAAAAAAATTTAGCAGGGCATGGTGGCGAATGCCTGTAATCCCAGCTACTCAGGAGGCTAAGGCAGGATAATCGCTTGAACCCGGGAGTCGGAGGTTGCAGTGAACCGAGATTGTGCCATTGCACTCCAGCCTGGGCAATAGAGCAAGACTTTGTCTCAAAAATATTAACAATAGCCGGGTGTGGTGGCTCACGCCTGTAATCCCAGCACTTTGGGAGGCCTAGGCAGACGGATAACCTGAGGTCGGGAGTTGGAGACTGGACTGACCCACATGGAGCAACCCCGTCTCTACTAAAAATACAAAATTAGCCAGGCGTGGTGGCACATGCCTGTTATCCCAGCTACTCGGGAGGCTGAGGCAGGAGAATCGCTTCACCCCCGGAGGCATAGGTTGCAGGGAGCCGAGATCGCGCCACTGCACTCCAGCTTGGGCAACAAGAACGAAACTCCGTCCCCCAAAAAATAAATAAATAAATAACAACAAAATAAAGTAGCCCACCTCAGTGACTCTCCACGGCATTACCCTGTTTCACTCTAATCGAGACAACTGCCATTAACTGAATTATCTTGTTCACTCATTGTATTCACGTTTACTGCCTGCCCCTTTTACATAGACAGTGCTCTTCAAGATAGGGTCCTGGTCTGTCGTGTTCACCTCTGAAACCACAGAGTCTCTTGTGTCTACAACAGAGCAGGTGCTTAATTAATATTTGTATTATAGAAGAGGAGGGAACTACCCGGGGTTTCGCCTCTTAATCAAACTTGTAGACTCCCTAGGATTCGCCTTTAACGTAGGTAACTCTGTAGTGTGAAATCAGTCACCCTTCTCTCCCTCCAGCCAGCCCCACAAGTCGGACAAAGAGCTAAGCTTGCTCAACTCTGCAAAACATAACTCTGGGAGGCCTGAGACTGGCGCCTGCACGGTCTTGGCGCTGCTGAGCCATCCTCCTAGCCCGGCACCCACAGGCGGCGAGAAGCGCCAAGTTTCCGCAGCCTCCGTCCGGCCCCGCCCGCCAGGGGAAGAGGGAGGAAGGGGAGGGCAGAGCTGCTTACCAGTTCATCCGGGCTCAGGACTCCGAACTGCACTCTCTTGATGGTGCGCAGCGGGCATGCGCTGTCCCCCGAGGGGGGGCCACCCCCGTGCATGGTGAACGCAACCGCGCTGCGCAGGCGCAAACCTCACTACAAAAAGCCTGCGCCGCCTCCACCTAGGTGCTCAGACCTCGTCAGGGCGGCCACAGGGAAGGACCTCCCCGAGTTGGGAGGAAAAAGCCGGAGGAGGGAAAGGTGGGGGAGGGAAGGAGGCGGAGAAATAAGGAGCAAAAGGAGCCCTTCTTTCCCTTTCCGGAAATTTTTCAGCGCCCAAAAAGGAAAAAAAAAGAAAGGGGAAAGGAAAAGGTTTTTGGGGGAGGAAGAAGAAAAAGGGTAACGAATAAATAAGTAACCGGGCTCCTGAACGGCAGAGGTTACGGCAGTTTGTCTCTCCCCCTTCCGGGAGCCACCTTCTTCTCCAACCGTCCCGGCCGCGCTCTCGGCGCTTCTGAGCGGCGAACTGGCCGAACGACGCCTCTTATAGATTCGCCCTTGCGTCCCCACCCCTTCCTTTCCCGCCCTGCCTTGCGCTACGGGGCTGCCTGCGCAGGCCCGCACGGGGTGCGAGCTAGAGTGGTGAATCCTCCCCCACTCCCTGGTTGGGCGACCTTTTGAAGTGACAGAGAGAAATTTTTTCTTTAATCCCATCGCCTCCCCTCGCTACTTCCTCCTGCACTGAGGCTTAAGGTTTGAAGACTCGAGGGTAAAATTGGGCCGCTTTCATTCTAGTTTGGACCACGGTTTCATCTTTAGCAAAAGCCTCTCACTTGTAGCCCCCCCCAGCTGGAAAATGGTCTGCTCTGCTAATCGGTAATAGAGGCGGGGCGGGGCGGGGCGGGTCCTCCCGAGTGGGCTCCCGAGGGAGGGCGGTTGCTCATGAATATGCAGATATAGTGCTGAATATGCATGAACAAATCAAGATGGCTGGGACAGTGGCTGGTCCGGAAGTAGCCGATATTTGTCAAACGGCCCCCAGAGACGGGTGGGCATCTCCTGGCCTCTAATGTAGCGCTGTACTGAGCCACGGTCCTGGATCCATAGCCTGAACCGGTCGAAGAGACCTCACCTCGGAGGCCGGCTCCGGAAGGAGCCTGGCCACTGTCCGGGAGATATCACGGGACCGCGACAATCCGAGAAAAGCAGATTAGCCATGGGGCGGGCCACAAAAGTCCCGGGGGATTTAGGGTCAAGTCATCTGAACATTAGGAAATCCTCCACTTTGTAGAATATTTCAGGAATAAAATGGGGGGCGGGGATCCCAAGGAATTCTCCAATGAGAACAGTCGTAGGACTTCCACTCTCCCTCCAAAGCAGAGACACCACTGCACAGCCACATTCAGAGTAATCCTTGTTTGATGTCAATGTCACGTCACCACCCCAAGGGGGGGGCACAAGCACGAGGAAAGGAATCCTTCGCCGGGAGGGGAGAGGTGGGAGGCACGCTCCCCTCCCCCAGCGCACCTGCTGGCTGTCTTTGCCCGAACACTCCAGCCCCAATGCTCTTCTCTTTGCTACTGAGTGAAGTCCTCTCCTCAGCCCACGGCCTGCCTGCCTCAGCCGCTTGGATCTGCTCCTCAGACTTTACCCCTTAGTTATGCCCTGATTCCTGGGACACAGCCTAGGCTCCACATCCCCTGGTCCCAGGGTTCCAGGTGTTGTACTGGCTGGAGCATAGAAAGTCAACACCAGGGCTGGGCGCGGTGGCTCACACCTGTATTCCCAGCACTTTGGGAGGCTGAGGCGGGTGGATCACGAGGTCAAGAGATCGAGACCATCCTGGTCAACATGGTGAAACTCCATCTCTACTAAAAATACAAAAAATTAGCTGGGCATGGTGAAGTGTGCCTGTAATCCCAGCTACTCAGGAGGCTGAGGCAGGAGAATTGCCTGAACCCAAGAGGCAGAGGTTGCGGTGAGCTGAGGTTGTGCCATTGCACTCCAGTCTGGGTAACAAGAGCGAAACTCCGTCTCAAAAAAATAATTAAAAAAAAAAAAAAGGACCTTTTATACCCGTACCACCACCTCGGGAGCGAGGGTGAGGGGCAGGGGTTGGGGTGAGGGGCTTCAGACATTCTGAGGGCTAGTGGATTCTGTAAATCACCTCCTGGGCAAAGATGAGGGTGAGGGGCTCCGGACTCTCCAAGGGACAGGGGACTTTTTGACATTCTGATTGTTATTTAACTGGTTCGCAAAAGTCAAGATTAGCATTTTGTTCACACATTGTCTGGGTAGTGTGGAAATTACAGTCCTTAATTACTTATTCACATTTGGGTTATAGAGAGCAGTTTCAACAGAAAGCCAAGGTATGGCTGAGGTATGTAGTTTTATTATTATTATTATTATTTTCTTCTTTATTCTTTTTACCACGTCACACAGGTCTTCTAAATAGTCCGTCACCACCAAGTCCCCAGGTCACCCTTGACTCTTGACAGTTATTCCTCTCCCACAGCAGTTCTTTTCTAATCACTTGTCCTCCCATGTTTGTCTTCAGTCTTTGCCCGTGTTTACCCCCGTCCCTCCCAACCCCAAGACTCCCGAGTTCTGTCTCACTGCTCCACCTTCCCTTCCCTCTCAAGCTCAGGTTGCTGGCTGTGATGATGACAGTGCTGCCCAGCACAACCCCTGCCCCGATGATGTCAGAAGGTGCCATGTTCTCATGGAGCACATAATACTGCAGCATAAGGGCCACCACCACCTCACAGTTTAGGACAGCGCACAACAGGGCAGAGTGGGCCTTGGTGACCGCGTAGTTCATGCACAAGGAGATTAAGGCAAGCAACCCCGCTGCCCCCACCCAAATCCAACTCAGGGGATCACTGGGCAGCACAGGGGTCTGTAGCACAAAGAGGCTTGGCACAGAGCCCAGCAGCCCCACCAAGCCAAACAGGAAGGCCACTGTTGGGAGGCAGGAGGGGAATTTCAGAGAACAGTAGACCAGAAGCCCCAGGGACAGTGCCGGGCCTCCCAGGAAAGCCAGCACATAGCCCAGGGTGGTGTAGAGGCCCATGGTCCCCTTCAGCAGTGTCCCTAGTCCAGGTCCCACAATGATGATTACTCTTAGGGTGCTGCCCACCAGTCCACACCAGTCGCAGCCACTGAGACCCTGGCTCTCAAGGCAGAGAGCGAGGATAGTGGAGCAGACGGTGGAAGAACCTTTGCTAATAGTGGCAGCGGTGCCAGCAGGAACGAACTGAACCGCACTGTAGGCACATCCAGTGCTGACGACACTGAGCAGCGCATGGAAGCTGGCCCGGCCTCGGCCATCAGGAGGTCCCAGAAGTGGGTCACCACGCAGTTTAAGTAGCAGGGCCATAGGGAGATGAAAGAGGCATTGACAGGCGAGCAGCTCCAGCGAGGGCAGGTGGGAAGCCTGGTAAGCCATACGAGTGAAGAGGCCTACGAAGCTAGCAGGCGGGCCCACACACAGCAGGGCCAGCAGCAAGCCCTTGGTGGCGTCAGAGGGCTGGCAGCGCTGGTGCGAGGGGAGGTTGGGTGGAGTGGAGGGCAGCGATGGCTGTGTGAAGTCGGACAGGTTAAAGTAGGGAGCCTGTTAGGGAGAAAGTAGCCAGACTGTTAGGGAGAAAGGAGCTCAGGCATGAGGGCAGCCACAGCCCAAGCAACCTGGGGCAGGGCAGGTGCCAGGAGGGGGTCTGGGACCCTGTGGGACTGTAGAGGGTTTGGCTATTTTGCTAAGGAACTCTTGGAAGCTAGAAAGGGCCTAAAAGAGCCGGATCCTGCCTGCAGACAGCCAGGGAAGGTTCTAGAAAAGGGGGCACACTGTGATCCAGCCATCCATGCCCGATTCCATGTCTTGATCACGGGGGGAGGGAACCATGGCTTCCTCTCAGGCCTCAGGTGAGACACTCCAGTGCTCAGACCTGCAGTCCAGATGCTTGTAGGACCCAAGTTGTGTTTAACTATTTATTTAAAACAAGAAAAAAAAAAAAAAAAAAAAGAAACGGCTTAAAAGATGAGTGAAGTGGTATAATAACGGGCCTGGAGCAGGAGGCAGGAAGTGAGTGGTCCTGGAGCATTGTGTTTCTCTGGGTAAGTTGTTCCTGGGAGGAGAAAAAGGACCCAGGATGCTCTGTTGGATTGAGGAAGGGGAGGCAGGCTCAGATGCCATGCATCTGTGTGATGCCACAAGTTCCAGAGACATGTGGGTAGACCTTTAAGAATTCCATTTGTGGGTATCTCTGAGACAGCTAAGTTTTAGGAAAGGAGGGGAAACAGAGCACCCAGGAGCTATAGGGAGTGGGTGTTGTGCCCCTGGCCCCCACACTCACCATCTTTCCTTGGACTTCTTCCTCTCCTCCTGGTTCAGGGAGCCTGGGCCCCTCAGAACTCCAGCCATTGTGACCTGGTTGGAGTGGGGCTGGGGTTCTTCCCTGGAACCCTCCTAAGGTGGTAGTGGGCCTATTTTCCCACGCCGCTTCTTTTTTGTTTTTTTTCTTAGACTAAGTTTCACTCTTGTTGCCTTGCTGCCCAGGCTGGTGCAATGGTGCAACCTCAGCTCACTGCAACCTCTGCCTCCTGGATTCAAGCGATTCTCCTGCCTCAGCCTCCTAAGTAGCTGAGATTACAAACGTGCACCACCATGCCTGACTAATTTTGTTTTTTGTTTGTTTGGTAGAGGCAGGGTTTCACCACGTTGGTCAAGCTGGTCTGGAACTCCTGACCTCAAGTGATCCACCCCCTCGGCCTCCCAAAGTGCTGGGATTCCAGGCATGAGCCACCATGCCCAGCCCACCTCTGTTACTTTTCTATGTCTCCATGACTCCAAAGTTTGTCTGATTCTTTTATTCTTTTTATGGCTAGCTCTGTGGCTTTACATTAATTTGTTTGTTTATATTTTGCATTGTTTGAGAGAGGTTTAAGGAAAGAAGCTCTGAAGCCTTGCTCCTCCATCTCCAGAGTTAAATTTTCTAGCACCAGGGAGGAGTCCTTGGGATTGTCCCTCTGGAGTTTCAGGAATGTGTTTTTTCTGTGTGCTTCCACCTGGTGTTTTGTTGATGTTGTCCCAAGAGGCCGACACCAAGGCCTCTGCATTTACGTTCAGGTATCCAGATGTGGATCTGTCTGCTGGTGGGGACAAAGTACCCAGCCAGCTTTGTGTGTTCATTTGCGCTGGTGGTCGCTGATGTGTGCCCCTTACTCGGGGCCAGGGCCTTCCTTGTCTGCGGCCTGCTGAGCGTCCCTGCGCATTCCTGGGGTGTGTGTGTGTGTGTGTGTCCAGGTCTGGCCCTCTGAGTGTGCTGACCCTGGGTATGTGGATCCCACTGGGCCTGATTATGAGTCTGGTGTGTCATTTCTGCACCCTGAGAACCAGTGTGTTATGCTTTCAAGCAGTGTGCACTGCTGAGTGAAGGGCGTGCAGGGGGAAGGGCGGATGGAGCCCTTTCCCTGGGGGTCAGTGGTCTTGCGCCCCTGCCGGGGTGCTGCAGCCCGACCCACTCCCCGCTCGGTGTCCGCCCGCCTGGTGGCCCAGCGCGGCGCGGTGTCCTGCCGGGGATCAGTCCCGAGCAAGGCCGTCGGGCGCTCGGAGCTTTGTGTCGGCGTCTGCTGCGCTGCGGCGGCCTCCTCTCGGCGGCGGGGCCGGCGCTGGGGGGGGGGGGACTGTTTCCGGGGGTGGGGGTGGGGGTAGGACCGGGGCGGGGGGAGCCGATGATGTCAGCGGCGGCGGCGGCGGCGGCGGCGGCGGCGGCGGGGCCGGGCCGGGGCCAGGCGCTGGGGGGGCTGGGGCCGGAGCTGGAGCCGGAGCCGGAGCCGGAGGCGGGCGAAACTGGAGCGGCCCGGGGCGGCCACGGTGATGAGCCGGGCCTGGCGGACGCGGCGCCATCGCAGTCAGGTGGGCCCCGGGGCGAACTGGGCAGGGCCAGGGCGGACCGGAGCCAACTACCGGGCCCCCTCCCCGCTGCCCGGCGCCGCGGGAGCCCCGGCCGCGCCCCGCGCGCAGACCTCTCTCCTTTGGGGTTGACCTGGGGGCGCGGGGGTCGGGGGCTGAGCCTGGCCCCGCCCCCGGGTGCGCACGACGCTGGGGGGCGACTAAGGGGGCCCTGGTATGGCGTCCAAGCAAGCGAGCAAGCGGCGGCCGGGGGATGCGATCGCCTGGGGCCGTGGAAGGGGCGGCGCTCACTCCCCTTTTGAAGGGTTAATTCTGCAGCTTATTCCCCCCCACCCCGCCGCGTGGGGCAGGTTGGGGGTGGGGTGGGGCGGGTGTGAGCCCAGGCAAGCGCTGCAAGCTGCTAGGAGGGCGATGGCGTAGGAGCCAGGCAGAGAGGGGGAGGGGTGGGCCGCCAAGCGCCCCAGAGTTGGGGTGTGCGGGGTGCGCAGGGCGAGCTGGGGCCCCGGAACCGCCGTGCCGTCGGGGCAGGGTTGTGACTGTGAGTCTTGGAGATCCTGTGTCTCCTGCCGTGTGGTGAGGCAAGGTAAACCTCTCCTGGGCACCACCGTTTGCTGGTCTGGCAGCCAAAGGTCCGGGTAGGGCCTTCCCTAGGCTATGGAGATAGAAAGCCAGGAGGGGTGTCCAGTGTTGTGGGGCAGAATTACAAGATGAGCCCTGTGGCTTTGGGTGACAGATGGGCATTCTGAGCTGGGCATAGGACGCTGGGTGCAGAGTTTGTTGGATGTGGGGCTGTGTGTTTCCTACAGCATGTGTTCTCACATGTGTCTTGTGCTGCACCTATGACCTGTTTGTGAACTGTTTTCTGCAGAGTTGCTATGCTGTATGTGTTGCGGAGGGTGCCAGGATGCAGAGTGTATGTGCCCTTTTGGAGGGGGTGGTTGTGGGCCTTTGAGTCAAAAGGCGTCACATCTGGGTCCCATTTCTGTGGCCATGCTGAGGTGTGGTCCAGTGGTAAAGAGGGCAATGGATGGGTTTGTGTGTCGGTGATGAGCGACCTGGGTGGGGGCTGTGCGTCTAGAACTCAGATCTAGAAGATCCTGAGTGGAGTGAGGAATCCCAGGGTGTGTCTCAGGGGCCTGTGGGTCAGCTGGTGCTGGTGTCAGGGACTCGGGGTGGGATGCACCAGTTGTGTTTATGGGATCATGGGCAGCCAGGCAAGGGGAAGGTTGTGTATTTGCAAAATTCTCCACAGGATTCTTTTGTGACGTTGTTTGTAGGAGTCTGTCCGGGCTGCTGGGCTGGGAGGCAAGCTGGTCAGAAAACACATGTGAGGAGGGAGGTGGCGTGACAAGGGCAGTGTGGGCCTCAGACCCAGGAGGCCAGCCGCAAGCAGGCTGCGTGTGCGTGCCTGCCGTCTGTGTGCTTGAGTGGCGGTGGGGCTGCCGGGGGATATGGTATGAGGAAGGCCAGAGATAAATGCAGGGTAGTGCAGGGCGGCCAGGGGAAGGCATGGGTGTTGTCGAGTGGCCCAGCTAGTCTTTGCAGGGTCTGTGTGTGCCCCTCACCAGCCCACCCAGCATGTCATGTCAGGGTCACTCGGAGGAGAGGCTGGGTGGCCGCAAGGGAAGTAAGCTTAGACAGAGCGGCTCCTTGGCCATGTTTATGTAAAGGCTGGGTGTGACTCTTGTCACTAAAATGGAAAAAAGAAATGTGAAGTTGTCAGCCTCCTCCCGCTTCGCCCTCTCCCTCTCTGCCCCCCTTGTGGGTATCTCTGACGCACACTGGGCCCCACTCCTGTGATGGTGGAAGGGCCTCGGAACGGAATTCGCTCAGTAGGCAGATTCCTCAGAACAGGTTTTCCTCACCTTTGGGGCCTGGGCCCTTCTGTAGGGGTGTACGTGTGAGTGCATTCCAAGCCTGCACACCACTATCTACTGCACCCGGCCTGGTTGAATGTGTGTACGTGGGGGAAGGGAGGGCACTGCGGACAAGCTCTCTGGCCTGGGGAGCTGGGAGAGGGTGGCCACCATGGGAGCCTGCACAACAGGTGCACAGTGATGGCCTGGTGCAGAGAAAGGAGCCCTGGCCTAGGGCTGAGGAGTTCTGGCGTCTTTACCATTCCCTCACTGGCACTTTGAAAGCAGCTCGGTTCCTCATCTGCAGAAGGGGGCTGATTGCCTGCCCTGTATGTCATCCAAAAGCACTTGGGAAACGGACTGGGAGAGTGGCTAGAGTCTGGGGGCTGTGCCTGTGCCAGCCCCGTCAGCCTCATCAGCCCTCCACCAAGACTGGGAATTCTCTTCTCAGGACTTCGCTAATAATGATGGCAGCACAAGCTTGCTTAGCACTGACTGCACCAGCCACTGTTCTCAGGCCTTTTATGTGCGGCCACTCAGTTAGTCGTCAGAACAGCATGGGGAGTGGCACTCTTATCACCTCCCTTTTTCAAGTGAGGCAGCTGAGGCCCAGAGAAGTTAAGTAATTTGCCCCAAGTCACTTAGCTAGTAAGAGGCGAAGCTGTATTTGAACCCAGGCAGACAGGTGGCAGATTTTGTGCTCTTAACTACTGTACTCTGCTGCCTTCCAGAGCATTCAGTGGATGGTCCTTTCTGTGCAACCCCCTCGAACACTCTTCCCCTAGTTGCTGCAAAACTTAGCATCTGTGGCAGTCTATTTCAGAAGACCCGGATGCTCACGGAGCCCCAGCTGGTGGCATGAGAACCTGAGTCTCTGCTGCTGTATAAGGTGCATATGGCCATAGGGGCACAAAAGATTGATGAGTCAGATGAAGCAGATTGTCCCCATCCTGTAGGTCAGGGAGGGCTAAGAAGGAGGTGGCCTTGGAGTTAGATCTTAACATTTCAGAGGGATTTTGAGAAGGTTGGGGAAAGAGCATTTCTGGTGGGACAGCCAGCACAGACAAAGGCATGGAAGTGTGGGATGTGTAGAGGCTGGAGAGCACACTGAGTGTCTGGGGTTTCCTTTGTTTGTTTAGAGATGGGTCTCACTATGTTGCCCAAGCTGGACTCAAATTACTGGGCTCAAGCAATCATTTCGCCTCAGCCTCCTGAGTAGCTAGGACTATGTGTACGTGCCACCACCCCTGGCTCAAACTGAGTACTGTGTGTTTGAAGAGAATAACACAAGGCAAGATTAAAAAGGAAGATTGGAGCTAGACCAGAGCTCTTGACTGCCTGGTGGAAGAATCTGAACTTTATTCTAGAGTCAGTGGGGACTAGTGGAGGTTTTAAGCCCAGGACAGATAGTCCTGAGCTGTGGTTAAGGACGTTGACCCTCTGCGGGAGGAGGAAGGTAAGCCTGGAGGCCAGGGGATAGCTGGGAAGCATAGCCTTGAACCATGTGAGTGTTAATAAGGACCTGAGCTATTGAAGGGAAGATTTCAGGAGCTGTTCCCAAGCTCGGATGCAGTTTCAGTCACACTTGATGACTGCTGGATGTGGGAGCGAGGGAAAGGGTGGAGTCAGACATGACACATTTAGCACTTAGCACGTGAGACCTTGTGTGGTGGTTTA